CACACACACACACACACACGCACACACACACACTCACACATACATTTTCACGAATACAAACAACCAAACAAGCACACAAACTCGGAGTATGCCCTGTTATAAGAATATCTCCAAGACTCATTACCTAAAAACTCTGTCATTAAAATCCGCCTCTGGCTCTTTTCTAGACAACGGTAAAAGGGGCAAAACCACCACGTGCAGCACAGAAATCCTCTGGGAATTTTAGCCAAATTTGCAAGTGGTCCTTAAATTATGTTGAAGTCTGTATGATTAATACCACCAAGACGAGGTACATGTACTTTCATAGCACAGTCGCTGTTCCCAGGACCTCAGGGTGCGGGGAAACATCCCGGAAAACACTACTCCCGCTTCATCAGCTCTTATCATCTACACTCTCGACTCGAGTCTCGACTCCCTTAATGAGCCTCTTTATCTCGGTGTCATTCTCCAACAGCTCTTTAAAAAAACCCCAACAACAACAACAAACAATCAAACACACTGTCGAATGCGGGTTGTTGGTGGGCGGTTTGATAGGCCTATGTGGTTTGCTTCTTCTTTCCTATCCGAATTATATAGGCCTTGTGTTTCCCTCTTCTTTCCCTTGTACGATACTCTCTATAATAGAAGCGTAACGCTAATCTCCGACCCTTATATAACATGTTTGGTTTGCAAGCGCTGTAAAACTCTTACTAAAACTAAGGTTAGCAAACACACAGTAGGCCTACCCCAACGTGGTCTCCTAAGGACATAGTCGAACCTACTCTACCACCTACCTGTCCAAGACAATCCCCTGAATAAAAGACAACTCCCCCACCCCACCGCCTTAGCGTTCTTAAATACAATTATCATAAGCACACTATCCATGACGTCCACCTGTCTAAGACAACCATTTAGCTCCTCAACAATGTACTCCCGTCTTGGACAATTTCGACTGTACTGTAACAAAATCTGCCTCGCTCCCCGCCTGAGCGTCCCTGAAAACCAACCACGTCATCTGTCAAGACATGTTTTACTTGTCTTACATAAGCTGTGCCCCTGATAATAAAATATCAGATTACCGTGACGTTTCTGAAAGGACCGTATCAAATTGTAAAATGAGACAGACTCAGGGT